CGTCTTGAGAGGGAGAGCATAAGCTTACATGGCGGAGACCCAGAATGAGGGGAACCCAGCCCTTATAAAGGAAACAGTCCTCGCTTCTGACGTGTCACTCTTGGATTGGTCCACTGCCCATTATCCCAGATGATGCCTCGGGAGTAGGCAGGGACGCAGCGGTAGAGAGTTACCAAGCACGTGCGCTGGGATTAAAGGCGTGTGCTACATCACCTTGAACTCACAGAGATCTGCCTGTCTCTGCTTTCCAGGCATAGGGGCCAAAGGCGTGTACTACCACGCCTTGAGGTCACAGAGGTCAATCTGCCTCTGCCGCCCAGGCATCAGGACTAAAGGCGTGTACCGCCACACCTTGGGGTCACAGAGGTCAATCTCTACCTCTGTTCCTAGAAGCAATGGAGAATGTGGTCTGGCCCTCCACATTTGATGTCTTTGGCAAGTGAGGATCTGAGGGTAAAAATAAATAAATAAATAAATAACTCAAGCACGTTACCTCTGCATCTTCTTTATTTTTTGGGCTAGGGGAAAAAGTGAAGTGAAGGGGTGAGAAGAAGAAGGGGAAGAAGGAGAGTAAGAAGAAGAAAGAAGGAAAGTAAGAATAAGAATAAGGAGAATAAAGGGAAGAAATAGAAGAAGTAGCAAGAAGAAGAAGAAGAAGGGGTGATCTCCACAAGATTTCTCGCTTTTACAGCTAGAGTTGGAAAATTCCATAGGCAAAGACAATGATAACATGCATATCAAAATCACAAAAAGGCAGGTAGAACCTGAGAAAGCTATACTCTGGAGCAGGTGGCCAGACCCAGGAAAGAGCCAGCATTTAAGGGGAAATACCTGACATTCCAAACCATTAGATAAAGTTACTAAATATCCCTGAATCCTGGATTCACCCATTTTCCTCATCTAATCTCCTTTGTGATAATCAGCTTTGGGGACATCCAGACTGGTTTGTTAGCAAAGATGGGGCAAGTTGCCTTTCTCCTCAGTTCCTGTCTTCATAGAAATTTCTTATGTGGTCTATTAGCAGGTAATTTTGTGGGACTGACTCTATGTAAATTTGACTGTTAGAACAAAGACTGAATGTTTTTGAATGTTTCACTGAATGTTTCACTCTAAGTCCTCATTGGTTGGAGGAATGGAACAAGGTCATTCCACTGCCCCCCAGAAGTTAGACTGCTGAGGTGTTTTGGGATTCAATCCCATTTTGAAGGGAAGAATCATGGCCTCACAAAGTTTACACAGATATGACAGAGACTTTTCCAAAAGACAAGTGAAAAGTTGTTATGGCAATAATCAAAATCAGACCAAATCAAACTGATTTAGAAAATGCCCAGATTTAATGGATGCCATCACTCCTGGGTGCCCTTCCAGGCCCCCAGGGATGGAGTTGGGAAGGAAGACTGGGAAAACCACAGAGAGGGGAAAGGAAGACCTGAAGACCACGTGTTCATTCTCTGAGGGGCAGTTTAAATAGCCTGTGGGAGTGGTCTTGAGTCTCTCTGGGGAGGGGTCACCAAATGGCCAGGCTTTCTCAGAGGTGGAGTCTGGACTGAGGCAACTCCCAGAGGAGGGGGCTTGGGATGAAAAGTTCCACCCAAACATTCCAGACTTTTTGGAGGCTGGGGTGAAGCCTTAACCCAAACAAGTGTTCCCACAACTCTGCAAAAGGGGTTCCCCATAAGTTGTTCACTTGTGGGTCTGCCTTTATAAATCTGTCAGCTGTGCTTTTACTATATAGTCTTGTGGGCTCCAACACTTATCACCATAATTTGAAGTCAGGTATTATAATACTACCTATAATGTTCTTGTTGGTTTTCTTTTTTCTTTCTTTCTTTCTTTCTTTCTTTTTTTTTTCAAGACAGAGTTTCTTTCTGTAGCTTTGGAGTCTGTCCTGGAACTCGCTCTGTAGACCAGACTGACCTTGAGTTCATAGAGATCTGCCGGCCTCTGCCTCCCCGAGTGCTGGGGAGCACCATCACCACCCGGCTTTTGTTTTCTGAGAGAAGGTTTCTCTGTGTAGCCTTGACTGTCCTGGAACTCACCCTGTAGACTAGGCTGACCTCAAACCTAGAGATCCATCTGATTCTGCCTCCAGAGTGCTGGAATTAAAGACGTGCATCATCACCGCCCAGCCTGCAATGTTCTTATGTCTTAGGATTACTTTGGCGATTTATGTCCATTGTGGTCCCACATGAGTTCTTATATTGCTGTTTTTCTAAACCTGTGAAATATATGAGAATTTTAATGGGTATCACATTAAATCTGTAAATTGATTTTGGTATTATAACCATGTTCACAATATTAATTCTACCAATCCAGGGGCACGAAATGTCTTTCCATAATCTAGTATCCTTTTTTTTGTTTTGTTTTTTTGTTTGTTTGTTTGTTTTTCAAGACAGGGTTTCTCTGTAGCTTTGGAGCCTGTCCTGGAACTAGTTCTTGTAGACCAGGCTGGTCTCGAGCTCACAGAAATCTGCCTGTCTCTGCCTCCTGGGTGCTGCTATTACCAAGTGCTGCTATTAAAGGCTTACACTGCCACCACTGCCACCACTACCCAGCAGATGCTAGGTATTGAACCCAGGTCCTCCAGAAGAGCAGTGTTCTTAACCTGAGACATTTCTCCAACTCACTTTTTCAATCTCTTGAAGTTTTTGTTGTTGAAGTCTTTCACTGACTTGATTAGATATAATCCTAAATATTGATTTTTGAAGTTATTTTGAATGGAATATTTCTTTTGATTTCTTTCTCTGAGAGTCCACTGGTGGTATAAATGCTTTGGTTTTTGTTGTTTTGTTTTGTTTTCTTGATGTACTTTGTTTTTTAAAATTATTTTCTTATGTATATGGGTAGTTTGCTACTGTGAAATAATGCTTTTATACCCTGTAAAGATTTGTCACCTGTATTGGTTTAATAAAATGCTGATTGGCCAGTAGCCAGGCAGGAAGTATAGGCAGGGCAACCAGAGTAGGAGGAAGAGGAAAGGCTCCGTCTGCAATTGCAATCCAGATACAGAAGAAGTAAGATGAAAATGCCACACTGAGAAGAGCTACCAAGTCATGTGGCTAAACATAGATAAGAATTATGGGTTAATATATGTTGTAAGAGCTAGTTAATAATAAGCCTGAGCCAATAGGCTAGTTTATTTCTTTAAATATTTATTTATTTATTTATTTATTTATTTATTTATTTATTTATTTATTATGTATATGTATATGTGTGGTTCTTTGGGATTGAACAGCTGCAGGACCAGGTGGGACAGAAACTTCTGTCTACAGTTTGCTTACATGTATGCCTGTGCACCGGGTACATGCATGGTACCCACAGAGGCCAGAAGAGGGTGTCAGATCCCCTGAAGCTAGAATTATAAATGGTTGTAAGCTGCCATGGTTCCCAGTTCCTCTGAAAGAGCAGTAAGCGCTCTTAACTACTGAGCCAGCTCTCTAGCTCCTACTGGGTTTTGTTTGTTTGCTTGCTTGCTTGCTTTTGTTAATGGATTTTGTATCCTGAAACTTTATTGTGTTTATAATGTTCAATAGTTTTCCAGGAGACTCAATAGGATGTTTAAAGAATTGTGCTATCTGCAAATAGGGATAGTTTGATTTCTTCCTTTTCTATTTTATATCTTTCCCTTGTCTAATTCCTATAGCTAAGATTTTGAGCACTATATCAAATAAGAAAGGGGGAATGAATAGCCTTGTCTCTTTTTCAACTTTAAAGAGAATGCTCCCTCATATGCAGAATTTAGACAATAATGTGTGTATATAAACAAATGTCTATATGGTTGTGGCACAATATGTAGAAAAGAGAAAAAGACTAAATATTAGGGGATGAAGAAGAATTGAATGCAGGTAAAGAACACAAGTTATGAAAGAGAATAAGGAGGATAAAAAGCTAATTGTTTAACTTTTTAAAAAATTATTTATTTATTTAGGATACAATGTTCTGTCTGTGTAGATGCCTGAAGGCCAGAAGAGAGCACCAGACCTCATTACAGATGGTTGTGAGCTACCATGTAGTTGCTGGGAATTGAACTCAGGACCTTTGGAAGAGCAGGCAATGCTCTTAACCACTGAGTCATCTCTCCAGCCTGCTAATTGTTTTTCTAGTTCTAACTTAGTCAAAGATTCTTTGGAGTTGGATGGTGGGTAAGTGAACAAGAATATATTCGATACTGAAAGAGTAAAATCCAATGTGAAGCTACACAGTTTCCAATACAAAAGGCTTTATAGAAGTTCATTGTGATGTATAGATGTGGGATCTTGCTACTTTTGGCATGTGATTTTTTTTTATGATTTATTTATTTATTTGTATATACGGTGTTCTGCCTTCATGTATGTCTGCAGGCCAGAAGAGGGCACCAGATCTCATTATATATAGATGGTTGTGAGCCACCATGTGGTTGCTGGGAATTGAACTTAGGACCTCTGGAAGAGCAGTCAGTTCTCTTAACCTCTGAGCCATCTCTCCAGCTCCAAGAATGTGATTTTTTTTATTTGCAAGTTTCTTTATAATAAAAGTTATTTAAAATTGAACTAGTTAGAAAAATTGAACTAGTTATTTTTAAAATCACTAAATTAATGAGTGCACATTAGATTATAGAACTCTAAGACCTGCCATCCAAGGTTAGACAGGGTTAGGGTTTAGCAAAACTCAAGTCTCATCTTGGTAGACCTCTAGACCCCTGAGATCCCAAACTTGCTCCAGAATTGGTGAAAGGGGGTTCTGAGTTCCCACCAGGACTTAAGGTGGGCCTTAATCACAAAATATCTGTAGGAGCTCTGCCCAGAAAGCTAGCTCCAAAGAGTCAGAAACCAGCCCCCAAGATCAGGACAGTGAATCTGAGACCCATGTGTGAAAAACTCGCAGTGACTTCAAAGGGACCATGAAAGAGGACCTGGGACAGGACACAACACACACACACACACACACACACACACACACACACACACACACACACAGCCCTAATTCCCGTACCTTAATGCTTCGTAGTAGTGCACCCGCACTGCCAGGTTGGGAGGGTGGGGCTCCAGGTTGCTAAGCAACATAGTCAACAAACCCAGAGACTCAAAACTGAAGTGTTTTCCCACGGAAAAGGCTGAAAGTATGGGGGTGTGAGGACTTGGGGTGGGGAGGCTTGGATGCTGAGTTGGTAGGTGGGCAAAGGGTTAGAAAATTTAGGGGAGAGCTCTCAACCATGTCTCTATCTCTCACCTACAGGAAGTCAGGAACTGCTGCTGGGTCCGGGATAGTTGGGAGGCTTGGTTTCCTTTTCCCACTTTGAGCCATTCCTCCTTTGTCATCTCTTCCCTGGGTTCTGCTCTCCACATCTCTACCCATGAGCCAGAAGGACAGAGGTTGAACTTCTCTGTGTATATATGTGTATCCTTACACACAGATCCAAACACACATATACCTACCTGCAATACCACACATTCACATACACACTCAAGCAGATATGGGTAGGCACACTCTTAGGGTGGGGTCCTCTGTCCAAAAAGTCATGAAAGACCATACCCTTAACCTTACCCCCAACTAAAGACCAGGGATCGAGGCACAGGGCCAGGCCAACTGCAGAGTTCCAGAGTTAGGGAACGCTGAATGACCCATTAACCATAATGATGTGGGCTGTGGAACACCAGTGGCATGAAGGACAGTCCGTCGGCTTTTATAGCCCTAAACTGGGTATGCTTCTAAAACTGGAGAGGATTAGAAGTCACACCATATCGCAGATATGCAGAGGGTCGGCTACCAGTTAGGGATCTGAGTAAGGAAGCTACAAGGAGTTTCACAGAAACACAGTTGGAGCCATAGTGTTCCCCCTTTTCTTCTACAGACTGAAGCATGCCACCCCCAGGAGTAAAGGGTGCACGGGAGCGGACCAAAAAGAGTGCACCAGGAGCTGGAGCTGGTGAGAAACGCAGGAAGGGCCCGAGGGCAACAGAGCCTCCGAAGCCAGGTTGGGACTTGAATCAGGAGAGGCTGACGGCCATGTCCTCCACACAACGCCGCCGCCACCTGCTCTTTGGAGACCTGCTCGACGACGCAGGCGCGGCCGCCTCCATCTTTCCACGCGAGTCTGTGGACATACCCAACTCCATGCCCGACCCGTGCACCTGGACGCAGGCATCCGAACTACCCTCTGAGCGTCAGAATCGGCTTCTGGGCGTCCTCAAGGCCGCAGAGGCCCGCGGCAGAGTCCGCGCTCTGAGGTTGCGCTATACCCGAATGCGGGTATGCAAAGGACCTCCCGGGGGCGTCCTCAAAGGAGAGCCCACCGAGCTGGCGGGAGGAGGCGGGTAGCGGGTAGTCTCTGGCCCGCTCGCCAGGGTTGCTCAGTAAACTCGGTTCCCAGGCAGAGGAAATCGCTCTCCTGATCCAGAAGCAGGGCTCCGCGCGCGCCGCCATTCGACTGGAACTGTTTCTACCACCCCAACTGAAGCCCACGAAAATCCCCGATCCTCTGGACCGACAAGAGGTGCGGGCAAACCCGGAGACGGGTGGGAGGGCCCCGTGCCTTGCCACACACTGACACCAGCCCTTCTCCACAGCGGAGGCGTGTTGAGACAATCCTGGAAGAGGCGGTAGATGGCAGCATCTTCCCGCGATGACTGTGACCCTGGCCGACAGAACCCCAGGATTACAAGGGCTCCCCACCCTCTAACATAAAGTTCTCATCGAGGGTTCTCGGGTCTTTCCCTCCTTTTCCCCCTGGGCTCCTGGAGGGAAGGGCAAGCTTAGATGCCACCTCTCCCACAGCCACAGTCACAGTGATGGCTCTCCAAAGAAAGGAGATGTCGGTGGGTGGATGTTAAGATACTATCTCCCAATCGCCTGCCCCTGTCAGGCAACCGGTGCCCTTCAGGACCATAGAGGTAGTGGGGAGGGGAGGTACCAGTGTGGGAAAGGATATGGGTGAGCCTGCCTAGACACCAGCACCCCCAGAAATCAGAGTTGTCTTCAAAGTTGGATCATTCCATCAGAGGGCTGGGGTGGCATTCGGGGAGGGAGAATGACTGCAAAGCCAAAGCTGGCCTTTGGAGAGTCCAGTTATGCCCAGAGGACCAACAGATTGTGAATGGGGCGCTCCTCGCCAAGGGGACAGAAAACTCAACCACAGCCTCCCTTTCGTCAGAAACAGTCTCCTGTGCCCACTTATCCACCAAACATGGAACACAGGAAGGAAGCCACCCATCCCATTCCGATCACTAGACTCTGAAAAGCCCCTGGTTTCTGGGCAGCTCTTCTTCCTCTTCTCCACAGCATGGGCTCTCTGCAGAACCTGTGGTGCCTTGGCCCCTTGGCCTTGTCCTCCTTCCCAGCCTCTACCCAGCAGGCTGAAGAGAGGTGGAAGCTGTAAGGAGATTGACAGCTCCCTGTCCCTGGAGAGAAGCTCCCAATGACTCTGTATGAAACAGAGAACAGAAGGGAGGGAGAAGAGATCAAAACTATGGTCTGCTCACAGAGGGCCAGTTCCTGGTGCTCTGTTTCCTCAGCTGGTCTTCTCCCCGCTGCACATGACCCTTCTTACATTCTGGCCTGTTGCCGCCCTGAACCTTGATCCAAACTCAGATGGCAGCGCTCACAAATCAGCAGCAGTTCTCAGGAGGAGGGGAGGGGGTTTCAGGCAGTGGGAAGGATGGCAGAGCAGTAAATGGTAGGTTTGGCCATGAGTGTGGACAGGGAAAATAGTCTCTTCATCCAGGAATGATGGTCATACACACCCAGACATAGCCCTCTGATGACAGTCAGTTACACCAGATAATAGCCAGTGCTGGGCTCCTCTGGACAAGCTCAGACCCCAGGATTTGTCTCTTGGAGATTTGCTAAGTGCCTAGAAAAACTTCATCTATTTAGTAAAGCTATACCATTATTTCATCATTTTTCTGACCCTGCATTTCTTCATTGGTAGTTACAGAGATGCCTAGGACCGTTGCAGTGTCCCACTCAGTGAGTAATTCATATAAGCACTTCAGAGCAGAGGGCTGAGAACAAAACCGATGTACTGAGAAGGCCAGCACGACAGTGGTACCATAGCTCCACACCAAGTGGCAGACAGCTTAAGAGTGCCACTTGATCTCCACATCAGTGAGGGTTTCTTGGGTTTACCAAGAAGGCAAAGGAAGGTGGCATAGGGCCCCTCTGTCTGAAGGAAATCCTTCAGGGATACAAAGCCTGTGGCACATGTGGGGCTTGTGAGCAGCTGGGGGTTCCTGCTCTGGAAAAGGGTATATTGGGTTAAAGTTCCAACCCCATTGACATCACTTGCTCAGAAGCTCCTGTTCTCTTTCCTGGATTTAGATGTTAATTGAGTGGTGAGCAGATGCAAGGAGGCAGAGAGCAAGTGAGCAGACATGTAGAATGTACTGACTTCTACCCATGGCCAGTGGCCCACACCAAATGCTGCAGAATCAGCTTTGGTGTCTCCACCTGCTATTGACCCATTTCTACTGGGCCTCCCTGTTCTGAACTGTGTCCACTATTATCTGAAGCAGCTACTACTGTTCAGATGAGCTCCTTAGCCTCTACCTTGCTTTGGGATCCATCAGTTTTGTAGTCAGAGGGTTCTGTGGTCAATCCAGGTCCCACACAGTGTTACAGGAAGCCTGGTAGCCCCAGGCTCTCAACTATTCTCTCTTCATCCAAGCTCCCTGCCCAGATGGCAATATCCTGCCTTCCTCACCTCTCAGCCCATCCCTTTCTTGTATGTCTCCCATTCTGGTCCACTTCAGTCAGCTCCAGGTCTGTCTGCCTCTGCCCCCACTGCCTGAAGGGATCATGTGAAGTATTTGCTTTGTACCTCTGACTTGTGTGTTGAGCATATACAACCTGTGCAATTGAAAAGCATTTTTGTTAGCAAGATCTCAACGCCTGAACTGATCAGGCTGTGTTCCAGTGCTAAGAAGAGCAGGAACCACATGACCCAAGCAACCACATACACCCTACAGACCAAGTCTAAAGTAGGGTCAGGGTCCCCGGACCATAACCCAGAGCATGCTGGGAAAATGATCTAATTCAAATCTGCACCCAATCATAAGAGATCTGAAGAGTTGGCCAAAGAGCAAGACCATTTGTGAAAAAGGCTATCTTGGAGCAGTTTGAGGGGTCAACAGGGACTCAACCAGGCCCCAGAAACTTTCAGGGTAATTTGATATAAGAACCTGCATCTCCAGTGCCCACCAAGCTATAGTTCCTGAACCTCCCTTTTTCTGGGAAAGTTCCATAGCAGGGTGACACAGACCAGACTCAGAAATGCGAAGGGGTTGGCCGGACAGGGCAGTACCACAGGCCAGTCCTTCCCAAAGGTCTCTTCTTATCCAGACGAGCCAAGGAGCACACAGGGCTCAGCTCTGGTGCCCCACACTGCACTATCACATAAAGGAAAGGTTGGGAAAACCTAGCTAACCAGACGGAGCGCCGGCTCAATCGTGTCAGGGTCACCATGCCACGCTACCGCGGGACGACACGCCAGCGCGGGTGGGGCGCGGGCGCGGGGCGGGGCACTGCGGGCGAGCAGGCGCTGGGGCCCGAGGAAGTCCCGGCCCCTCTCTTTGGGGAAGTACCGCGGAGGCGCCTGCGCACTACGCCTGCGCCCCCTCCCCGGCGACCAGCAGGACTTCGGAGCGCGCGGGCGGCGTGACTCTGGGACTCGGCGGTGAGTGCGGCGCTGGACCGCGGACGGGCCCCGGCGGTGTAGATGCAGGCTGTGCCTGGACTTCAACAACCGGTCCACGTGGACCTGGGTCGCGGTGGGACCTGAGCCCACCTCCTGCGCGTGGGGGAGGGAGAGCCGCAGCCAGGTTCCCCTTTTTCTTCAGCTCGGAGCTTTGAGAAGTAATTGCTAGAGGTGGGGGCCGGAAGAACCCAGGTTTCCGTGTCTCCCGCCCGCTAGCCTAGTGGGGAGGGGCCAGACAAGACACCCGATCCACCACCTTACCCACCCTTCGAGTCAGGTCCTCTAGCCACTCGGCCTAGAAAGCCTTAGGGGTGAATGTTGCACTCTCCGGCCCCACCCGAGCGGGGTTCTGTGCGCCTTCCTACCTCGCGAATACCCAGGAGTACGTCTTGCTTTCTGACTTAAGTCCCTGCTGCTTTAGAGCACGCCCCTTCGGCAGCCAGGGTGGGGCCCAGACCGAACCTGGCCCTCCCGCCCCCATCCGCCTTTAGGTCGCTGGTGAGTGGGGCGCCATGGCGAATTCCTTAAGAAAGGGGTGGGGGCATGAGAGACTGCCAGAGGGACCGCGAAGAAGACACCAACCCTCCAGATGACCCCACCAGCAGAAAGCAGGAACTGGGTGGGGGCCTACCACTCCTCAGGTGGGCTTGGGCAGCAGGGTTCGCCATGGTGAGAGAGGTCTGGCCTGCCATGGAGGTACAGGTAGGACAATGACAGTGTGGGATGGAAGTGGGAATGGAACCCGTTAGCTTCCCCCGCCAAAGGTTATGACTTTTTTTCTGGAATTGCCCCATTTTCTTAAGAGGGGGGGAGGGACTGGGCAGGCTTGGACGTTCTTTTTTCTTCTGTGGAGCAACGCGGCAGCCGTTCCCCAGGGAGCTTCTGTCCTCAGAGACCAGATTTGCTGCATCTGATCTCTCAGCATAGACTTGGGAGGCCAACGCCTGGGAGGCTTGGGGAGGGAAGGAGCCCTCCAATATTCGCATGTAGGGCAGGAGAACCCTAATTCAGAGTCTGGGCTCCCCTTCCCCAGAAAGAAGGGAAGCGGTAGTCAAGAGCACCCTGGACGACATGGGTGGTCCCAGCTGACCATTGATGGGTACAAGGATCCAAGACCAGAACCTGCAGCTGGGGAAAAGGGCAGACACCTGTCTCTGCACCCACTGGACCCCAGCATCCAGGCCCCACACCCTAGGCTGTTCCCTGTCCAGTCTGCTGACTAGAGATGGAGCATCGGAGGGGTGGTCTTCTGGGTGAGGGTATGAAGGACAACTCTGGAGAGCCTAGAGACTTCAGGCTACCACAACCCTTCCTTTCCCTAGAAGCTCAGCCCCAGGGAAGTACAGCCCAAGCTACTTCTGTGTCCTGGTTTGCATGCTGGGAGACTTGGGAACCCATCATCTCAGAAATCAAGTCAGGTGGTGAGGCTACCCTCAGTGGACAGAGCTGAGGAAGAACAGGATTAAAGGACCTCTGCTGGATGAGGGGCTACAGGGGGGGTGGGTGAATTTCATTAAGAAAGTAATGTGAGTCCCAGGCTGACTAGAGGAAGGTGGACAGAGCAGAGATCTTAAAACCTGGATGGCCTCCATCTTGGACAGAAATGGGCACAGACTGGGGAGAGAGGAGGTGTTCAAAGCCGCTGCCAGCATGCTAATTGGATGCTTTGCTTATGTTTCTCCTGGGGACACTGGAATTTGAAGTCAGCTTTCAGTGGCCTGAGAGGTTCCTAGGCCTCCCCCACCCCACCCCATGAAAGTGTGTTCCAAACATCAAGAATGATAAACCCTATGAAAACCCAGTGAAAAGCCCAAGGCTCTCACTAAGTAAGCAGCTGGTCCTCCCATGTTGCCACACCAGCTTCCATAGTTAGCACTCCCTGCTTCTGCACCCTAAATGGGAGTGTCTGAGGCAGCTGAGGGCCAAAGAACTTTGTTACCTGAGTACACACCTCATCAGGGCATACCCCCACCCCCATTCCTCACTTTCAGGAAGTCGTTCTGAGGCCCACTCGGGTACTCAATGCTCAGACCAAGCCCTCTGCAGTCATCTGGGTAGCATCTCTACCCACCTCCATACCAGCTTGTAGCTCCAGTCCCCTTGGGAGGGGCCAGGAGCCGGAAGCCAAGAAAGAGGAACCCAGGCTTCCGGCTTCTCAGGGACTGAGCAGATGGGGGTGTCTTAGAGCCATTTATGGGAGGCCCAACTGCAGTATCCCCATCTCTGGCACCTCTGTATGGGGTAAGCATGCAGGCTTGGGGTAGAAGGCTAAGGCAGAGCTCTGACCAAGCTCCCTCTGAAGGACCTCTCCCTGAGGTGGGTGCAGAGGTTACAAGGTCACAGACCTCAGTCAGAACTCCAATGTTCTTCTCAGATCCAGCAGACTCCCAGACTGCACTGAAGGTCCAGAGCTGGCACCACAGAACCTGGCAACCCCCTCCACCCACCCATGCCCACCCCACATGAGGCTGAGAAACAGGTAGGCACTTCCCACCTCTAATTGGGTTCCTGGACACCTGAGGCCCAAAATGTCATGATCTTGGGGACACAGCCCATTGGGCAGGTGGGCAGAGACATAGGATCCAGTGAATTCTGGAGTGGAGGTTGAGGCAGCCCCCTCTTCCTCAGCACACAGGACCAGAGGAGGCAGACAGGCCTCCATTGATGTCCAGCCATGATGCAGCCCCTTCAGGACCTCCCAGTCGCAACCCCTGCTGCTTATGCTGGTGCTGCTGCTGCAGTTGCTCCTGGTATGTGAACTTGAGGGTGCAGCTTGCACTGGGAAGATCCCAGGACATTTGGGCAAGGGTACATGGTTCATAAAGCACCAAACGGGTATGTGGTTCTGGGGAGCAGCTCATAGAAGAGGTACAGAAGCATGAAGGGGTGGGATGAGGTGGCTTTTAGGGCTCAGACCCAGTCCTGCTCCCTAGACCCTCCAAGAGGCTTCCAAGAAACTAGCTTTAGGCAGGTGCCACAGCCACAGCATTGCCCTGTCTAGAGATTGCTGAGCCTTGTTGGCTGATAGTAGTGCCCAGACCCTCTAAGGGACTTTCTATGGCTCTTAAATTTTATGTGTCTGAGTATTTTGCCTGATTATGTCTGTGTGGCATATCTGGAACCTGAAAGGTGTTGGAACTGGAGTTACAAATGGTGGAGAGCCAGCATGTGGTCTTAACTGAGCAGTCCCTCCAGCCCCTTCGTGTGGCCTTTAAACCTGATATGCTGGGGTATTACATTCAAGAGCCAAGCAAGTGGCATGCATATGTTGTCCATGCTCTTACCCAAAACCTGTTTATACCACTAAGAGCTGCCCAGACCCCAGACTATGTGCAGTAGAGGACACATTTGAGAAGAGACTTAGATAAGGGAACAGCTGGTCCTGGACAGAAAAGTATTTAAGGTTTGGGGGTGTATGATGGCAGGAGTAGAAGAGACAGTAGAAGTTTTCTACCTTATAGCAATCTGATCCTACACAGACCGAGGAATCTATTGAACAGCAAGCCGCCCAGCACTATGTATAGGCAAGATTCAAGGAGTGAAATATGAATGGGTAGGGCTCACTGGAAGCTTGAGCTGTATTGTTGCTGAGAAGCCAGGCCTGGTGGGAACTGAATTGTCTCCACACCTGTGGGAATGAGATGCTCATTATGCCAACTGAGCACACACTGACAAGGAGAAGTTTCCCTTGGAGGCAGTGTTCAGGATCCAGGATCAGACAGGTACAGACACATTGGAGGGGCTCTTACCCTACATTAGCCAACGAGTCATACTGCTGACATTAGGCCTTAAGTGCAGACTTTTCAGTGATCTCAAGAATGATCTGGAACTAGGCTAAGGAGTATGGTTCTACCCAGCAGTCCAAAGAGAGGGAGTGATACCAGGAACCAGAACAGTCCAGCTGCTGACCAGGAAAGAGGCCTCAGTGGGGGAACAAGAGGATGTGAAGAAGGCTCATACTAGGAGCTTCCTTCCTTGCAACAGACTTACTGGTGCTAGGCAACCACGTGCCAAAGTGGTGTGTGGAGAACCCAACTGCATAAGGTAGTGCCACTTTCATTTGCCACTAGGAACCAAGAACGGCAGCGAGCTTGGCAGGCTTCTCGGGAAAGCAAGTTGCAACCCCTCCCCAGCTGTGAAGTTTGGTGAGTACAGCCACCACTGTGTATGCACGCGTGTATGTGTGTTTGTGTGCGTGTCTCAGTTCTGACATGGTCTGGCCCTAATACCTGCAGCACTCCACCAAGTCCTGAGGAAGTACAGAGCTGGGCACAGTCCTTTGACAAGTTAATGCATAGCCCCACGGGCCGCAGTGTATTCCGGGCATTCCTGCGCACGGAATACAGCGAAGAGAACATGCTCTTCTGGCTGGCCTGTGAGGAGTTGAAAGCAGAGGCCAACCAACACGTGGTGGATGAGAAGGCGCGACTTATCTATGAGGACTACGTGTCCATCCTATCCCCCAAGGAGGTGCGCCAGATGCAGGGATAAGTGAGGGTGGCCTGGGAAGGGCACCACCCCACCTCCTGACCTTGGTGCCTGCCACACAGGTGAGCCTGGACTCCCGTGTGCGAGAAGGCATCAATAGGAAGATGCAAGAGCCATCGCCACACACGTTTGATGATGCACAGCTGCAGATCTACACCCTCATGCACCGGGACTCCTACCCTCGCTTCCTCACCTCCCCCGCCTACCGCTCTCTGCTGCTCCAGGGAGCCCCACAGTCCTCCTCTGAGGCCTAGGTGCTTGCCACATAGATGCCCTGCTCCTGTGGGCAGACTAGGGGCTAACCCTGCCCCATTTGGCTGGATATAGACTCAGTCCCAGTGGCAACTGCAATGTTCTGCTCTGCCATAGCCTGTTCCAGCTGGGGGTTCTCTGAGATGGTGCCTCAGACCCTCCAGTCACGTGCCCAGGAGACGTTCTCATAGAGAACAACCTCTGTGCCAACAGGTTTGTAGCAAGACTGTTTATTCCACAGAACCAGATGTAGGACCTCAGAGTCAGGCTCAAAAAAAGAGCCCATTTATATTTTATATGTTAATGAACTTTAAAATTGGAAACGTGTCCTTATTGTACATTTTATCAAAAGAAAAAAGAAAGGTTTCACATTCATCTGTATTCCTACACATGCCAAAAACATGATATAGTATTCTTGACCTTTCAAAAACAAGTTTCCATTTATCCCACAATTGGGGTAGGAGGTCAGAGAAGAGGATCATCCATCAGACTCTATTCTGGGCCCTGCCCAAGGTATAGCTCTAGAAACTGGCCTCAACTCTTAAGTGGGTCAGTGCTCCACAAAGGCTTAAGATGCAACTGCAGATTATCCCAAACCCTTGTGTACTTGGTGAGATGTCTTCCTAGAGGCTGATGACTTGGCCTCCTCAAGGTAGCTGGGCACAATGTCATCTTCATCTTATGGGTCCAATAAAGCAAAGCACCCACTGCGTTGGTCCTTCAAGTTGCTGGAAGTTTGAGCAATTTGAAGCTAGAATTGACCTCAGCCCAGAGACCATCCTCCCCCATGTGGTGAGCAGAGTGAAGGATGGAGCAAAACATCCTGAGAGGGTACCAGGTCCTTGGGCTGCCATGTCTGGTGAGGATGGGTGAACACTGGGCAAGGTCCTGTTCTAACAAGTCCCATATGCCACAAGCCCACAGTCAGCATGGTGGGACACATATAAGCAGACCACCAATATCCTAGAATCACATGTACAAGTAAGTGATCTCTCTAAAAGACAGACGTGTTCTTGCCTACATTGCCCCAACGCAGCGTAACTCAAGTGTTGTCTGAGCTCAGGGAGCAATGGAAAGACAGACCCAGCTGGAGCCGGCGTTTAGCCCCTACCAGGAGCAAGGCCAGAGAAAGGCAAAAGAAAACATTTAATAATGAGGGACAAAGGGTGAAAAGGTGCACACCAGGCAGGCAGGCAGGCTGGGACAGGGCATGCCACCTTCTGGGGATCTCCAGAGAAGCTGTATCCAAGAACATTGCAGGAGGGGGGGGCAATGCTAGCCATGGCCAGGACTACAACACATCAGTACGTACAAGGGTTCAGCAGAACTGCGGGAAGGTAGGGAAGTGTCTGGCCAAGGCCCCACATGACACACACCACCCCCCAGGGCAGTAATAGGACGGACAGGCATGGGGCTCCTTCCCAGAGACTCCCAGGAGGCTATCGGTACAGTGGGCCCTAGTTCCTACTTCAGGTCCCATATATTCTTAGACAGGACTGGAGGTGAGCATTCTGGGCCCACCTACTTACCTTCCAGCGATTCCCACACTCGTTGCAGACAACATAAGTGGTCATGGGCTCATCCGAGCTGCGAGTCTGCACCTGTAAGGTGGGTGGCTGAATCCCCAATCTCTACTGATGACTTGATTTGAAACTTCCCAGTGACCTCAACCTTCTAAAACCTCCATAGGTCTATAGAGAAGGTGGATCACCACAACAGAGATCTTTGTGGGCCTGAACAACTGGGCTCAGTAGAGTCCAGAATGTTGGCTAAGTACAGAATTCCCAAAGGAGGGTCTATATATTGAAAGGATCAGTAGAGATGCCAGTGGCCCTGGTCATCTGGGAGAGGGAAGGGAAAACCTATCACAGGGCTTAGTCCTTACAGGTAGTGGAGACTGAGCTGCTCTGCCCCTCATGCCCTGTGACAGATGATGGCAGCTTCCATAAGCCATCTTAATAACACTTCCCTCTTCCCAAGTCCCCAAAATATTTAAGCCTCCACCTCCATAGCAGGGTCTGAAGGTCTCACAGCCACTGCCAAACAGAAGACTACACTCCTGTCTTTCCAAGCTGGGAGGGCCAAGCCACTTAGCCCTAGCACAGGGCCCAAGACCAGTAGAAGTAGGGACAAAGGTGGTATCCATGGAGAGGATTGGTGTGCCCTGAAGTCCCAGTCAAGGAAGACAGAGTGGACCCCAACCTGCGTGTAGGTGCAGTTCTTCTTCCTGCACTTGCTGCAGGTGAACAGATCGGTCTGTGTGCCACCTGTACGGGCCATCTGATGCTCACGGATGGCCTCCTTGGTCATGGCCTTACGGATCTCCTTCAGCTCATCACTGGCCATCTCCTGATAAAGGGGCCAAGTGCTCAGCCTGAAGCTCTATACAAACAGCCTGCCCCAGCCCTTCCACTGGGGCTCACCTCTGATGTCATCACAGCTATCTGCTGGGGTGTAATGGCACCACACAGCACATTCCGCCGCAGGCCAGGGTTCTTGGCATCTTTCAGGTTGGAGATTCGGCTCCGCACACGGTTCTTGTACTTCATGTCTGTGTTTCCCACATCCAGGAAGATGCGTAAGGGTATTTAAGGATGCATCTGAGGTTTCTGAGCTCCATCCCCTCCTTGGAGTCATGAGTCTACCCACTCAAGCCCTGTGGGGGAACTGAGGGGCTACAGTGTTGTGACTTCTCTAAACCCATTCCTGTTTGAGGCCCAGATCTATATATTAAGTAGTCACAGCCCCTTACTCATCTATGGCCCAGGTAAAGTTGGGGAACCACCCCAAGAGGGTGCTGGGTAATCTGCCAGTGGTGTCTGACAACTATTGGAGAAGCACAGCTCACTGGTCTACAGATTCTACCAGAAGTCTTGGACCTTGTATACACTGTACAAAGGATATACTCCTCGATCTGAGCTGACAGATGCTCACAGTCTACACCAACAGCCTCATGGTCATCTGCAAAAGGGAACCTTCATTAGTTCCCCCCACTGGCTTTTTCCACCTGCCACTCCTCTGCTTACACAGAGCTCTAGAAGCTAAATAGGGCACTTGCATTCCTGGAGACAGTTCCCAAGATACAGGTGTTCTGATGACTCCAAAACCCCAGCCTCCTCCCTAAGTCACAGTGGGCTAAAGAGAAGAGCTGTTGCCAGGCAGTGGTGGTGCACGCCTTTAATCCCAGCACTTGGAAGGCAGAGGCGGGTGGATCTCTGTGAATTCAAGGCCAGCCTGGTCTACAAAACAATTTCCAGGATAGCCAGAGCTGTTACACAGAGAAACCTTGTCTCAAACAAGAGAGAGAAAGTGTTATCTCTCTGGCAGCAACCTCTAGAGCAGGTAGAGGTCCGGGCCACTCTGTGAATCTGGAGAAGTGTCAAAATCCAGAGCTTGTAATACTCACGATCCGTTTGCAGGGCCAAAGTCAGCATTTCACGGCATTTGTTTCGTACAGCATCGCAGGTAATGGGTACTGGGGGAAACGTGGTGATCCTCGGAGTGGATGAGGTCCTCGGTGGGTCTGGCTTCTTGCAGCTAGAGAGACAAAGCCAGCTAGGCTCAGACTAAGCCTCTTAAGCCAAGTTGTGCATCCAGCAGCTGTTGGACACCACTTGTAGGCTACCTAGTACCCTCTCTGTACAGGCATGCTAATGAACTCAGGACATAATAACATTATATCTGGACTGCTAGGCTAGAGTTCAGAGCATAGGCTGTTGTGGCCTGGCCACTGCTACCATCTGATCAAAGCAGCCTGTCATCCATGGCCTGTAACTAGCAGTGCCCCTCATCTCCATGGTAACAGGTCTGCCTTGACCACCTTTAAGGCAGCAGTGTGGCAACACTTGAATGTGGAGATATTACCTGTGTCCACCTAGAGCTCCAATAGCATTTGCATGAGGGACCCATTCACCAATCCTGCTGAGCAGCAAAAAGATAGGGTCTAAGGAAGCAGGAAAGGGAGCCTGGGGCCAGGCCATCTCCTGTTGGGTAACCCCTTCTTACCGAAAGTCTCAATGACACTGACAGCCAGGTAGACACAGCCAGACATCTTAGTGGGCAAGAAGGGAACTAAGCAGTAGGACAATATCCAGGATGAGGCTGACTAACCTCATAAATAGTGTCCTGGATAGGGCCTCTCCTTCAGGGCAGTGTCCAGGCAAATGTACATCAGCCTTCTTTTCCCACTGAGGAAACTGAGGCAAGAGACAGACATGTATATACCTGCCTTCAGATATGCTACCTGAAATCAGCAGTCCCTGAGGCATCCTTTGAGGACGGTGATGGCAGAGGCATGCCCTTCCCTTGATCCCTGGTCTTGCCATCAGAAACATCTGCCATTATCAGAAAACAAATGGTATAGTTTGGTCAGGATCAGGCAGCCAGGTGCTAGCCCAGCCTCAACCTGGCCATTATCCCTAATGCTTAAAGCCATTAGACAAGCAAAGTACCAGGAGGCCACCTGACCTTCCTCCCAGTCCCCAGCAAGCCCACCAGCCTCTTCAGGACCCACCCTCCTTAAGCCTCACTCAAGCAAGCTGCTATGGGACTCTTCAGGTGAAGCTGACCAGAAAACAAGCACATGCCTCATAAAAAGCTTCTTCTGACAACATGAGCAGGGCCTTGCCCAAAACCTGAACTATGGACCAGGACAAACTTACACTGCTAGCCTCTCAATGGCCATGTGACTGTAAGGAGGGGCAGATCCTGAGTTGTCTCACAGAGAGCTTTGTAGACAAAGCCCAAGAATGGTTGCTTTCCTAATCAATAGGAGCATCTCTGCGGCCCAGTTATCCACTGTCCCCACAAATAGCTGTGGTCTGCTTAGCTCACCTCTTGCATAGATAGGTAGCAGCCCCACCTCTTCCTCCTTCAGCTGGAACATCCTAATCTGGACCTCCTTTTCTGTGGACCTCCTGCAGTTTGAAAACCTCCTCCTCGGCATACACCCTCCCAGGCCATCTCCTCCCCACCACAACAGATAACATCCATCATCCTCATTCACTTCCAGCCCAGGGATGGGCACTTTCTGGCCTGTTTTGTATCCCACAACCAGATAGTCTGAGTAAGCGCAGCAGGGCCGGCACTCTATGCTGTGCGGAGCAACAAGAGCCACCCTTTACATTCTGACCCGCACCCAAGAGCTTCTTCCAGGACTTGATGAGGGACTTGGCCAGTGCAATGAGCTCCTCATCCGAGCTCTGCTTCCTCAGGGCATTGACAGACATCCCAACACGGGTGGACTGCAAGGCAAGTGTCCTGGGTCAGAGGTGGTAGGGGCCTGTCCAGAGGCAGATCCTCACTAAGGACTCTTGGCTCCCACCGGGAAGGGCTAGGGAATGGTCAGGGGCAGAAAGACACCTCTCTCAATGGCTATGATCTCATTTGGAACCCAGAGCACTCCCTCCCACCTCACTGATCATCAGAAAGAATCAGAAACCCTCTCCTTAGAACAGTTGTTTGTGCCAGCTAAGCCTTGTGGAAGTAATATAAGGAGCCCTGTTCTTGGAGTTGCTGTCTCTGGAACCATTCTAGACCAGGACTGGAAGAGCTTACCTGGAGCAGGTGTAATGTAACAGGCATGGTCTTCAGCTCCCGCAGCAAATCCATGGCTCCCTCCTGGAAGGGAAAAGGACCTTCATAAAGGACATTAAACAATCCCACCTCTTTCTGATCATGAGAGAAAATTTATGTCAGAAGGAAGCCATTCCTCTACCTTGAGAAGACCAGAGCACTGCACACATGGCCATACATCACTAGGAAAGAAATTGAGGCAGCAAACAGCTTAACAGTGGTCTCCTCAAAGATCGGGTGGTTTCTCACCCTGCATCTGTGGTGACCTCCAGACCTCATAGTAACCACATCAGGTCACTGAGCAAACTACTAGAGGAAAAAAAAAATGCCCCAGTTCCTGGAAGGACACTCAGAGATACAGCCCAGGTTCCTTAGCCGTAGTCCATCTGTGCCATGGTGGTAGAACAGCCTCTTCTCACAGAGCCCCTCCGTCAGTGCAGCACTTCCAGATATTGTAACAGACAAGCCTGGTTTTCTTCCCCTGCCACGCTCTATTCTTCAGTATCTACAGACAGGCTGCACCTTGAAGGCTCCTCCTTTTCCTACCTTAAAACCCTCATTCTGCCTAAGACTAGTCTTCTCCCTGGCACTTCAGTTTTATTCAAGCACCTCCTTCCTACAACTGAGACAGACTCAACACCCAACACTGTTGTGCTTGCTATCCTCCAGGTTGCCCCTATGAGCTCATGTGTCTTTACCCAACCATTCAAACCTTCCGTACTAGAGGTAATGGGAGGGTCTGGAGCTAACCTCCAATCTGTGTTAATTATCTGTCGAAAATGCAGCCTTGTTTCATGGCCCTAAAGCGGATCCTGCTTCTGAGACTGTACATCAGTCAGCCCTGAGGTGACTTCCTGTGAAGATCTGATCCTTGGTGCCAGCTGCTCCAAGGAGCCTCTCAGGTTGCTGCAACCTCCTGGAACCTCTGTCATTTCCCTTCTCCGCCGTACAGTCTTGTCTGTACTTTCCACTCTTGCTGTCTTTACCAGTTCCCAAGCCCCTGTAAATTCCCACCCCATCTCTGGAACCTTCAGCTCCAAGTTTGTCATTTGGGTTTCCCTTAGGGGAAAGAAGGCCTCTGCAGTGCAGGTGATTGCAGAGTGGACCACAGCCCTCCAACCCTGAACAACAGGAACCCAAGGCAATCCTTTTGGGGCATCCCCAAAAGCTGTCCTGCTGCCCTCCACTCCAAGTACAGTCCTGGGAGGGGGAGGGGGGCTCTACAGACTCATGACTCAGCCACCATCTGGGCTGCCCCGGGATTGGTGCTGCGGATGGGCGGGTCATACTTAGTCTTAAGGCCACCTCGTGGTCCCTTCCCACCCACTGAAGATGCAAGTGCCATCATCCCTAAGGATGATCCTGAAAGGTTACAAGAGTGGCTAGTCGATCGAAAGGCGGGCTAGACTGCCAAGCCCACAGTGCCTCGGGGCAAGACAAGGGGCAGAGTTGATCTCCTAGGGTCTCAAGGATACAGGTTCATTTTGGAATCTACTGTCTCCCAAACCGGCTTACTGCTGCCTGAGGCCTAAGCAGGGATGGGGGCGGGGAGTATTAGAGAAACCTGGTTCTGGAGGGTGGGGGCAGACATGGGAGACAACGGCTGGACTAAGAACGCACGCGACCACCGCTGGGCGATGGGACCAGTGGGCGGCTCTCAAGTCAGCTTGATGTCCAGTGCGAAGCAGCAGTCCCAGGACAAGGTAGAGGGCGGGCCTGGGGCAGGGGTCTCGACTGGTCTGAGTATCATTCTCCCCGCGGGTGGGTTCGGTTGGTCTCCGCGGAGCGGGGGCCCCAGGGTCCTGGCGGCCCGCGCCCCTCACCGCGCTCTTTCTGGTCACCATCTTGTCCAACCTCCGGGCGATCCGCGCAATCTCCTCCTCCTTGCCCATCACCACCTCGGTGGCGGCGGGTTGCTTCAGTTGAGCCGCCCGGCCCGACCTCGGCCGCCGCCGCCTAGATGCGCGGTCCAAACCTCCCCTGGCGGCCCGCGTGCAGCACAATTAAAAAAAAAAAAAAAAGTCTCCGCCCTCGGGACTACAACTCCCAGACGACTGCGTGGCGCGTGACCCGCTGGAAAAGATAGTTCCTCCTTACGTCCACCCCACACACCCTCTGAAAGCTGGGGAGAGGGTGGAGCTTGAGGGGAGGAGTAAAGATAACCAACTGCGCTGCGGTGTTTAACAAAACCCTTTCTGAGCCGCTCGCTGGCGAGGCAGTGCTCCTCCGCTGGTCGAGTCCTGTCGCCTCCGCCTCCGTGGCGTCGGGACCTCTCAGCTCAACCCTACGTCCGATTGGACTTGACACACTCCCATCGTTGCCAAGCCAAGTTTAGGTCGTTCTTGCTTCTGCGCAGATGCGACGCACACTGGGAGGTGTGGACCCCGAACTCTCTGAAAAGGCTTCTTGGGCAAGAATCCAGCCTCTGAAGTCAACCTAACTGGGTGTATGTCCCAGGTTCTGCTCGTTGCTCTATGCCTCAGTCTCCCAACCTGTGAAGTGAGAATGACAGAGGCAGTGATCAGGATCATCCCATTCACATTATACACTAAGAACAGGGCAGGGCAATCAGACAGTGAGTCAGTGTCTCAGGAACATCATAGCCATGCCCAGGCAAGGAAAAGAGGTATTCTGTTCCTCTTCTGTGGTGCCAAAAGACAGGTGTCTGAATTGTTGTACTCATAGTAACCACGAGGCCAGGGTGCAAACGGAATTGACAGATGGCCTGGGCTGACCATTTGATCAGTTACGATATCTTCACCATAAGGAAAAAGTATGAAATTTCTTGTAGGTAACAAAGCTTTTCCGTGTCCCACAGCACTAGGATTTGAACAGACATGTTCCCAAGGAAAGTATACACACCAGCAAGCATGTGAAAAGTACTCAACCTCATTAGTCACTAGGGAAATGCAGATCAAAACAACAGGTGAGGGGGCTGGAGAGATGGCTCAGAGGTTAAGAGCACTGGCTGCTCTTCCAGAGGTCCTGAGTTCAAATCCCAGCAACCACATAGTGGCTCACAACCATCTGTAATGAGCCCTCTTCTGGTGTGCGGGCATACACGGAGGCAGAATGTTGTATACATAATAAATAAATAAATCTTAAAAAAAAACCAACAGGTGAGTGCTGGGGAAGTAGCTCAGTGGTAGAACCCTGGGCGAGGGCTAGGGAGGTAGCTCAGTGGTAGAACCCTGGCTATGCACACAAGGCCCTGGGTTCTGCCCTAGCACTATGACAATAAATAAAGAAAAGAGATTTGGGCATAACCGTGCTCACTTTTAATCCCAGCACCTGGGAGGCAGAGACAGGCAGATTTCTGTGAGTTCGAGGCCAGCCTGGTCTAAATAGTGAGTTCTAGGACAGCCAGGGCTACATAATGAGACCCTGTCTTGAAAACAAACAAACAAACAAAGCTTTTCCAGAGGTGCAGTGATTAATGAATACAGCTCTCCAGCTTCCATACCAACTCTGATTCTGCCCTTTATTGGCATCTGGGCCCTTGCTCTAAGCCAAACCCAACCAAATAAGTTCTGAGAAAGGGAACCCTGTGTTGGATCATTGAGTAAACGCTTGCAGGATCCTACCATAGCACAGGGAATAAAGGAGTCACATGGCCTTCAACTTTGCTTTAGCTGAAGGGATTGTCCACCTCCAGGTAGTCATTCCAGTCTGAAAAACAGCAGCCTGTAGGTGGCAGAAGCAATCCACAAACCTGCTCAGACAGTAGCTTCTTTTAGAGGAAAGTCCAGTATCTCACCAGCAGGGGAGCTATGATAACAAAAAAATAAGAAATAAAATAAAAAGCCAGATCATAGATGTATTCATTCCTTAAGGGTCCTCATTTGTGGGGCTGGCACTGACCAGCCAGATATTTCCACATCTCAGCCTTAGAAAACTTCATTCTCTGATCTGTGGATTAGCTCAGTTGGTAGTGTTTGCTTAGCACAGAGGAAGCCCTGGGTTCAATCCACAGTACTGTATAAAACCAGGCATCACAGGTACTGTACTGCACTCCCAGAACTTGACAGGCAGAGGCAGGAAGATCAGAAGTTCAAGGTCATCCTCAGATACATATCCAGTTTGAGGGCAGCCAGAGCTACATGAGAGACCTTGTCTCAAAAGCAAACAAAAAAAAAAAAAATGCTAACGCCAGACCCTACAGGAGCTCCAAATCCAACCTTCTGGCCCTTGCTCAGAGAAGTCACCTCCCACATCAGATACACACACATACACACACCTTGCTGACTTTGGGAGTTTTAATCTTCAGTGAAACCTCGCCACCAAAGACCATCTGAACACCAACAGGTGTTCATTCCAACATGGTGTTGTCCACTACCCTAGCCCTCTGAGGGTAATGGAGAGGGACACGCCTGCCTGCTTCTGGGAGATAGTCTTGCTTACTCTCCCATCCTATCTACCACCGAGGGCTTTTCCAGGTCCCCAGAACACCTAGATGAGACTTCTTCACAGTTCACCATTTGGCTTTTGCACCCAACCTTCCTGGGATACACCCAATTTTCCTTAAAAACCTGTTCCTTCCGGCAGTGGCTCTTCAACCTTAGGAGCTCTCGGTGAGCAACATTGCCCTACTCTAGGGTTCCTGGGGAGGAGATATCCCAGCTCGAAGGTCTGAAAAGGGCTGACAATATCCTAATGGGGTGGGATCATGGGACATCCCCAGGCCAACTGCACCTTTGGCCCAAAGCCTGCCCATCCCCCTTCCTCAGTTCAGGAAACAGCGGAAGCGCAAGCCATTTATTTTTCTATTTGTGATCCCTACCCCCAATCCCAGTCTGCCCAGAGCTGGCCCTGACCCCAGTGGTGGCCTGAATGCTTCCCCTCTGACCAAGGTAGGGCGGTGGTGGGTGGGAAGACTCACACTGCCAAGCTCACACGGAGCCCCTTGTTTCCCTATCATCACAGACTGGGAGGCATCCTTAGCCCCAGGAGGTCCTAATCCTGCCACCATATAGTAATCGCTCCCCTGCATGAAGATCTCAGGCCCTCTGGCCCATTCGTGGAGGTGGGGGGGCAGGTCACAGGTCTTCACCACAGGGCTCTGTGGATCTGTAACCATTGCCAGTCCCACTTTAGGCCCTCCTTGGACACTGGCTTCTGTGTGATCAGACAGAGTAGTGACGAGTAACAGATCCGAGTCTCTGGTCATTTGGGGATAGGAGGTAGAGGCTGGGCACATGAGTGTTGCCTTTGTCTGCGTAGACACCAGCTCTCCGAGCCTCAGTCTCCTAGTCTACAGAATGGGAAGAGCCATGGGCTCATGGAAATGTCTGTTTGGAAAGTCCCCCGCCAGCCCACAGCCTGGCCAGGGTCCAGCTTTGTCCCCCTTCTCCCCCGCCAGAGGCAGGGCTAGGGAGGCAGGAGGCATCCCCTAGAGGCCATTGAGGCCCTAGCTGCAGGCTGGCTCTAACAATGTGAATGTGCTTCCCCCACACAATTCCCAGAAATGCTGCCCCCCTGCCCTGCCAGCCCGCCAGCCTGGCGGCCACTCCACCCTTCTACCCTAAGGAGCCCCAGGCAGTCACAGGGTCAGAGGCAGTGGATGAAGCATGGAGGAGGTCTGACTCAGAGGCAGCAAACCTGTGGAACTGTAAGGCTGCCTGCCTGCCTGCCTGGCCTGCCATCCTGCAGAGACCAGCCTGGACAAAGTCAGACACAGCCAAGCCCCTGCAGGAGCAAAGCTGTGCTGAGCTTTGTGGGATGCCAAGTCACTGAAAGCTCTTCCCAAGTCACATTCAGAGGAAAAAACAAGATACTTCCAGGCTGTACTGGGCCCCTTGATCCTCAACCCTCATGCTTCATCTCCCCTCTCCTCCGCAGTGTCTTTAAACAGCTCTCCATCTGGGTAACATGCTTCTAGTATGGTTTCTTCACGTTTCTTTCAGGTGTGGGCTCAAAAACCACTCATGAAAAAAACAGGGTGTAGATACTGACATAGCCCCTTCTCATACCTAGCGTTCCCATTACGGACTTATTTGTGGATTTATTGATTTTTAACCTTTCCATACCCGAATGGAAACATGTCACAACAAGAATTGGGGCTGTTTGTTCTTTTACAGTTTCCTACCTCAGAAGACAGACGGAGTCAACAGGGGGCTCCATAACCCCCGACCCCAATGAATTCTGTCTCTGAGCAAAGAAGAGTGGAAGTCCCTAAACAATCAGCTGGTTCCCCACCAAAGCCATTTGTCACCAGCCAGGAAAGGGGGGGAAGCATACAAAGCGGGGTGTAATTTCTACACATACAATCCCGAAACTCAGAAAACAGAAACCAGCCTGAGCTACATAGAGAGTTGTAATGCCACCATAGTTGGCAACATTTTTGTTTGTTTTTGAGGCAGGGTCTGTCTACATAGTCCTGGCTGTCCTGGAACTCATTGCAGGCCTTAAACTCACCGAGATCCACCTACCTCTGCCTCACAAGTGCTGGGATTTAAGGCATATGCCACCGTACCTGGCCCAGTTAGCAACATTTTTAAAAAAGAAGAAAAATGACCTGAAGAGAGGGAAAAGAATAGGGAGAGAGGAAGAGGAGATAGATGTGTTCTTTCTCTGCCCTGGTCTCTCTTTATCTTTATTTCCCAGTCTGTCAAAGCAAGGAAGGGGCAGCCCAACATGGCAGGGCATTCAGAATGGGTACTACCTTCCAGAAGCCTTAAGATACTCGAGTATGCCTGCATTTAGCCCACCTTATAGGCAAAGACCACAAAGGGTACCGAAGCATTTCATGAAAACAGAGACAGCAACATCCACAAACCCAGGCCATGCACGGAACTGAGAATAAAAGTTACTATTTATGTAAAGACCCCGCAGTTCTGAGGTGTGGGGGCGGGGCGAGGGTGAGGCCAACGGAATGGGCGAGAGCACCGGCCAGCAGGGGTTGGGGAAACTGGACAGAATGTCTGGCGCCTCCTCAGCCCAGTGAGTTCTCTCTGGCCTGAAGGCCAGCCTTCCTTCCTGAGCGGCTGTTTCCTGGCT